GAGACAGACCTGGACCAGAGGAGGAGAGACAGATCTGGAGTCCTAGCAGCAGAGAACTTCAGCACGGATTCCAAGGTACACCTTTTTCATGCTTTACAAAGAATGCATAAAGTAATGACTCTAATACACTGATAGACATGCCATTAAACATGACTGAATACTAGATCACCTACACATCAGTGATGTTGAGTGTACTTTCTTAGCAAAAGGTTACATTTTACCAAGCAACATCACATAGTGAGAGCTGCGACCCTTTGTCTTTCAGTGAGACAACCGAACAGAGCAAGCTTCCACAGTTGCACTAAGTTTTGATAACAGTTAAATATTATTTTAATAATACATTTATTTCAATGTTGATGAATTTAGAATGGTTTATTCATAATCTGATTATCTTTGTAGTACACTGTTGGATTTAAAAAAACACATTCAAATAAAAATCATTATATTTATGAACAAACAAACACACCTCTTTCTTAAATAACACACTTGCTCAGCAATAATATGTTTTTTGATATTTCTGTTAGGAAAGGACACGCCTGAGAGACAGGACTGCTTCACCATGTTCTCTTTCTCTGAGGGTCCAGAAGAACATCCAAGAGGGAAAGGAAAAGCTGATGTGATGAGATTTAAGAGCAGTACAGGACATTCACTAAGAGACACTTGTATTGTAACACAAAGACCTGCACACTGACTAGTTTTGTAGTCTAACAGGAACTTCATTTGTGTTGTTTTGTGTTTTACGTTGCACAGAGACAGTGTGATTGTCAGGCCTATAAAGTTTGGCAAAAAAAAAGTCAGCTGATCAAATGCATTTGCACTTTGAGCTTCACATCACCTTGTGCCGCCGAGTTTGGAACGTCATAAATAAATGGTACCAATCTTCAGTCAGATGTGAATGTGTAATTTAACATTTTCAGTAAGGATAACCGACAAAAGGAGTGCAGATACAATTTATTGAAATGTGAACTAAAAGTTATCAAGCATGAACCATCACCATTTAAAAAATAAATAAAAACGAAATAATATACATAAGTTACACTAAATGTTAATCTGTTAATTGACAGGCTAGGCCTGTGCAGGTGGTAACAGCTATGCCCAGCATGGGCTAAGTTCTGTAGGTGGTGCAGGTCCTCCTCCATCAGGTCTGGTCCTCCTCCCTCAGGTCTGCAGGGTCTTTCCCTGTGAGGAGGACTCCTCGCAGGGAAAGACCCTCAGCCCTCTCTGGCCAACGCAACAGACAGGACGTTCATGAAGCTGAGGTCTCCCCCCAAAGTCTCTAATCATCCATCCTGTGAATATGAGAGGGGAACAAATAGTGTAATAGATGCTTTGGACAATAAGAAATATAAAGTTAACTGTTGAGTTGCTCAGTTTTTTAGATTGACAGGGTTTAATAACACAAACAAAAGGAGAGAAATAAAGATTGGTCTTTCAATACATTGTGTTGATTTTGTCTTTTGAATTGTTTGTCTGAAGTCAAGTAGCTAGAACTGTTACTTATAGTTTGAATGATACAGTCTGGTTATAATGTGTGGAGGAGGCATCACAGGTAAGAGCACCATTTGTTGTGTTCCATCCACAACACATTGATGTGTGTGTATTTATTTATCTACTATTTCTTGAATCATTACTGTCAGTCCAAAACAAGAGATTTTGTTTTGGTAACATTTAAAAAAAAAAACATTATCTCTTTTCCACTACACTATCTTGAATACTTTAGTTTTTACGTCACTACATTTATCTAACAGCTTTAACATTGTAAAGGTGTCACTTCGGACTCTGGGTAATTATGACAGCATGTCCTACTCAGAGCCCTAGAGTCTCTCGGGCTCTGGTCCTACTAGTTTGAGACTTTGAACAAACCAGACCTTCATCTATTAATGTAGAAAATAGTCGGCACATTACACCATTATGAAAGTAATAATTAGTTAGCTCATTGTTCAAATGAGCTCCAACTACAACAGTTAAGTCAACTCGTGCATCGGTAATAACAATAAATCAAATGATATAATATAATAGAATAACTTGTGTCTACTTTAAATACTCTAACAACACTTGTTGCTAATTATACTAGCATACTTTTACTAAAGTAACATTAACATGTTTAAATGCAGGGCTTTTGTAAGAGAGTATTTCGTATAGTGTAGCATGGTCTACTTGACTTATCTAACCGAAGTGATCGTTACGTTACTTTGCAAACCGTCCCCCCCCCCCCCCCCACACACACACACAAAAGGACACGGTAACGTTGTGATTCACTTCAATTAATGATAACTACGGAGCTTGCTAACAGCAAGGCACAAGGCTACTTCACTCATTTAGCTAGCTAATGTAAGATACAAATGCTGTCGAGCCCTCACTGCTTGTAAGATAAAGAGCACAAACTGACTACTTACCCGAGCGGCGAGCCCCGCTGTTCTCCGTCATTTTTCTCCCGGGTTGTTGTGATCACATGACTGACAAAGCCGTGCTCTGATAGGCCAAGTCAGTTTGATTGCATTAGGGCTCGATTGCTTATCCTGTCTGAGTAGCCCGGATGATGCTGCATCGCAATTTTTGACATCGAATTTTATACACCGAATTTTTTGACATCGAATTTTTTGACGTCGAATTTTTGGGATCTGAATTTGAACATTCGAATTTTTTTCACTTGAATTTTTACATTTTTATTTCACATAGGTAAATTCGGAGCAAAACATTCAGATACATGATTTTCAAAGTAATTATTTTCAATGCTATAAATTCGGTGTCTAATACAATTCGAATACTTCTGTCTCTTGTTTGCTTCCATATACGGCTGCTACCGTGAGGAAATATCTGCCTGAAATTACAATGGGGTTTTAATGGAGGAATGTTGAACGTTTTTGTCACTTCATGCCCTCAAGAGGCATTTTGTTTAATTATTTTTTGCTTAATTATTTGTAATTTTTCAAGCTACGAGATGTTTTGCTACGTTTGTCATAAAAAATTATGTCACAGGAATGTAGGGTTTGGGAATTATGGCAGTTTTAAAAAATAAATGAAGGCAAATCTCAAGATGTTCTACCCTCTAGCTATGACATCACGCACTCTAGTTAATTTTAAAATCTGAAGAAAACCTCTAAAACAAGGTCTGAACAATGTTTAATATCTCTAAAAGTAAGAATCCGATTTAAAAGTTATTTTACACAAATAATCTCAGAAAGATGTGTAACATTTTAAAGTTGGAATGAGGTTTCTGAGTGAAAGTATGAATGAACAGTTAGCAGTTGAAGTCGCATCAAGATTTGTTGAAGTTGAAGAATTTCTCCATTGACTTCAATGGTTAAAAATGTGATGTATTATGGGATGTATCTCTGGAATTATGAAAGTTATGAATGAGAAAAGTAATAGCCATCGATTCCCGACGGGGGTTGAACGTTTTGATGTTCGAACGGAGTTTCTGCGATGTTCAATGCGGGAGGAGAAGAGGGCCAAAATAAGTCGGCGGAATAATACAAATGTTGTCCGTAGAAGAACAGAGAATGCAATTCCTGAAGAAATTGCTAGTGGGAATGCTTTATGCTGAAAATCTGATGCTAAACTGCTATGCTGAAATGTAATGTGTAAGAAGAAAGTGAAGAATTTAGATTGAAATGATACATGAACACTGGGGGCTTGAATGTGTGATGAGAGAAGAAAAGAAAGTAAAAAGGCTTGGAAAAGCAGCAGAATATTTTAACTGCACACTTTTGAACTAACTTGATGGCGAATGATCTGTCACCATGGCAACGACATTTGATGACACCCCATAATACGCTTAGATGCGTTTATGCTTAGATCGTTACCAAACCTGTGAAGTTTTGGGGCGTTTGGAGTATTTTCACTGAAGTTATGAGAAAGCTGTGTTTCATGGCGAGCATTGTGTTGCCATGGCAACGGCATTTGAATAAATCTCAAAACTGGCCCGTAGATGTCTTCGGGAGAAGTTGAGTATCTGAAGTGTAATTTTTGTGTACTTTCGTGTTAATAATGTGGCCTTTTGGCAGTTTAACTAAAGGTGTGCGGCTGCTACCGTGAGGAAATATCTGCCTGAAATTACAATGGGGCTTCAATGGAGGAATGTTGAACGTTTTTGTCACTTCATGCCCTCAAGAGGCATTTTGTTGAATTATTTTTGCTTAATTATTTGTCATTTTTCAAGCTACGAGATGTTTTCCTACGTTTATCATGAACAATTATGTCCCAGGAATGTAGGGTTTGGGAATTATGGCAGTTTAAAAAAAATATATGAAGGCACATTTCAAGATTTCTTACCCTCTAGCTGTGACATCACGCAACTTTTCGTGCGTAGAATTGCGTAGAATTACAAAGAACGCTGTCAAATAATTGTAGTTAGGAAGAAGTATAAAGTTGCATTTCATATAATGTAAAGTACAAGCACAAAACTGTATTCGGTAAGTAAAGTACTTGAGTAAATATATATGTGCAGATTCAAGGCTGTGATGAGCTTTTTGGTGTCAAATGTTCCAAAAGTGGTTGAAAAATGTCTCGTGCTTTAATGCAGAAACACTATTTCACAAGGAAACTCGTGCAATACAATCTTACTCAAATAGAAGTAAAAACGTGTGTACATTGAGAACAGCTTAAAGTACTCATTATAAAATATTATGTTATTAGAGTACAACTTGTTTAATTATTTTAGTTGGGATAGCTATACTATTACATCATCATTTATTAGATGATTATATTGTGTTTTCATTATCTGAAACTGCAAAATAATATTTAAGAGGAAATATAAAGTTGCATAGCATGGAAATACTAAAGTAAAAGTTCATAAACATTTAGTTAGTACAGTAAGTCATTGAGTAAATACCATGGTTAATCTAAATGAAGTGTGAATGGAGGCTGTTATTGAGCTGTATAGTCTCAACTTTAACCAGAGTGTGGGAGAGAAGGGGGAAGGGAGACTGCTTCACAGAAATGAAACTTAAAGTGGCTGCTGACGTACGAACCAGGAAATGAAAGTATAAACAAGCTGCGGTGTGTGCGGTGCAGAGGGACAGATAAAAACACACACAGCGAGGAGGACACTTCCCTGCAGAGACTGAGGATGAAGCTGCTTCACATGGCTGCGGCTCTGCTGTCTGCATGGGTCCTCACAGCTACTGCTGCAGGGCCTGAAACAGGTACACACACACACACACACACACACACACACACACACACACACACACACACACACACACACACACACACACACACACACACACACACACACACACACACACACACACACACACACACACACACACACACACACACACCTCCTGGTTGCATGCATGTTAAGTGAACCCAAATACCATTTCTTTCAGAGGGACATTTTTTGCAACTTCTCTAACAGCATAATAAGTTAAAGTACTCTAGCAGTCAGATAACAAGTGTGTTCTTATTTTGTATTTATTTATTTAAGATTGAACAATGCAAATTAATGAACATCCTGTAAATGTGCCAGATTTAGCCATAAGGGTTCATTTTCATCTGCAGTCCCTTGCAGGTTAAGGGCATTACAAAAAAAACACAAGAGCACAGAGCCCAGAACACATGAGAATGTGTGTGTGTGCATGCGTGTGTTTGTGCATGTGTGCGTGCGTGTTTGTGCGTGGTGTAGCAAGTTTTGGGAGACATACTTCTATGGGATGTGTTTGTTTGTTACTTTAGCTCGAAGCCATCTGCAATATTGAACAACAAACTTTATTACAAATAAACAAGTTGACTTGGGATGGGCTGCAGAATGACTTGGTTGAGATGACCCGTCATCACTGGGGGAAGAAGTACTCAGATACAAGTAAAAGCCTGCAATCGAAATGTTGGCATGAAAATATATTTAAAGTACCAAAAGTACTCTTTATGTAGAGCCTATTTTAGAATAATATGTATTTTATCATTGGATTCTAATTATGAATCCATTAATTTGAACATTTTAATTTTGCAGCTGATAATAAGTTAAAACAATTAAATACTCCATAATAATATGTTATAATTCATAAGTAAATTACATTTTTGAAATAACAATATAAACGTGCAAACTAATCTTTTCAAATAAATGTACTTAGTAAAATGTTTTATATTTGCTTTTGGTGGATAAAAAGTATGAAGTAGTATACATCGAAATACAAGAGGAAAGTGCAAGTAGGCCTACTTAAAAAATGTACTTGAGTACAAAACTTAGTTACTTTGCATCACTTTAAGTTTCATTTCTGTGAAGCAGTCTCCCTTCCCCCTTCTCTCCCACACTCTGGTTAAAGTTGAGACTATACAGCTCAATAACAGCCTCCATTCACACTTCATTCAACCATCTTGTTTTTACCCTGATTAGTGTATTATGCTTGTGCTACGATTAGATGGCTCAACTTGGTCGAAAAGTGTCTCCGAGAACAGAAGGTGTAACTTTATTCTGCTGAGCGGTTTTCTACCAAGTTGAGCCACCTAATATGTGCAGCAACCAGGAGATAATCAGCTCTTATTATAACTGTATAACTGTATACCAGTGTAGTATGCATGAGTAAGATGCAGATGTAATACTATGCTAACCACTTGTTTGTGTGGCTCATTTTCCTCTTGTTTTCTATAGGAGTTTCCAGAGTTAATTTAAATGGGAAGATGTTCACTTTGTCTAGTTCTGCAGGGGGGATATTCTTCTACCCCCCCGAGTTTTATACCACTCCCTACCCAACTCGAAGATACCCCACCACGCCCTACTACACCACCACACGCCCCTACATCCCAGAGTCCACTGTCAGCCGGAAATACAGCCCCACCACCACCCGCCGCTACACCACCACCCGCCGCTACACCACCAAACCCACCACCCGCAACACCACCAAACCCACCACCCGCAACACCACCAAACCCACCACCCGCAACACCACCAAACCCACCACCCGCTACACCACCAAACCCATCACCAAACCCACCACCCAATACCCCACCACCACCCAATACCACACCACCACCCTCCCCCCGCCCACAGCACCCTACGCTAGAGGTGAGTATCCATTCACAAACTACATGCCCAACAGAACCACAGTGTGCATCTCAAAATGTTTCTTCAAATGTATTTATTTTTTTATTTCTAGGCAAGTTTCTTTTTAATTGACTTTTTCTAAACACAAAACAGGTCACAGGAGAAAATACTGTTTTAGGTCATGTTAAAGAAAAATTAAGGTTGAACATATTTTTTCCAAAATCATATATGGAAATGTATTTATGCCCTATGGATATAGGTGGAATGTTCGCACTCTTCCTTAACAAAGCAATACATATATTTAAGGAACTATGATTTGGCGTTGAGAGCGGTAGTCTTTCTTTTGTTCCACTGATGGTAACTGCGGTGGCTGACAGGTGCAAGTGCGCTACAGAGAAGATGCAAATATAAAAATACAAATGTGCCAAACCACATGCAAACAAAGAAACATGCACACCAACTGAAGGAAACATGCACAGCGTTTTAAAAAAGTGGAGCCGAAACGAAAAGCTGCAAATAATAAAACGATGCAATTAAAAAAATTAAATCGCTGCAAAAAGCTCAAAACACAATTTAAGCCAGGGGACACATAACACTGATGCACATAGCTGGGACCAGGACGGATTATAACTGCCACTGGAAACTAAACTAAAAGTTATAATGGGTCTATTTGAACAATGTGACCACATGATTCCTTCAGATATCATTGCAGATCTGTTGGAAGCTAGCAAGCTAAAGTAGCTAACCTAGTCATTTCAAATATACTAACAATGATTTAAGATTATGAATAAATAACTCTGCCTACACAGTTGGCCAACTTTACAATTTGCGAACGTCAACATGCGCTCCGGTCCCAGCTGGGTGCATCACTTTTTACTGTCCCCGTTCCCGTGTTTGGAACTCCCTGTTTTATTATCTGCATTCATTTGCACTTTTAAAAAAAAGAAGTGCATTCTGTTTTAATCTTCAGCGTTTTGTATTTGCAGCGTTTCGTATATATATTATACTTTAAGTAAACGCTGCGCAGGATTTCGTCAAGTTGGTGGACATTTGAAATAAATGTCTGCACTTTTAATAGTGTAATTATGATGTATATTATGATGTTCCTTATTTAATGAATGTGCAACAACAATCATCCTGTGACCAGATGTGTCCGTGTGTCTGCGATACCTGACGGACGCCCCAACGACACTCTTCACACTTCGTCAGTCCAGATACCCTCTGCGCTTCACAGTCGATTATGCTGATCTAAAGTATTATCTGGACATGGATCCGTATGGTGGGCAGACTTTGATCTTTCGACCCAACATAAAGTTTTGGCCAGGCATCAAATCAGAAGTCTGGAGCAGAGTCTGCCTCACCGTGGACAACATGAAGTATGTGGCCCAGGTGTTCAGCGGCTTAAAGACCAGCATCAGGAAGCTGCTGCCTAGACAGGTGAGAACAAAATCTCACACACACTGAAGAGAATGTTCCCAGTTTTGCCTTTTTATAACTAGATAATCAGACTGTATTTGATTTGAACAAAAAAAAGAGAGAGCATTAATCACAATTCAAATATGTGATTTATGATGATTAATTAGATAATTATTGGCATACAGTCTGACCATTTTCCAAAACTTAGCTCAGCATCGACAAAGAGAAGGAGGCTGTGATTGCCCTCTGTATAAACAGGTGTAATGTGCACTTTAATAAATCGTATGGCAATATTTTTTCTGCAGCTATCATATTTTAAGCACCTTATTTCTCCACTTACTCCGCCTCCTTTCCTTTATTTATATTATTATTTTATTTGTATATATATTTTTTTTTAAACAATATTTTCATACACAATGAATGAAAAGACAATATTAAACCATTATTCATATAAAGATGGAGACACGCCCTAAAAATGTAATTGGGTATCCCCGATATATAAAGGTATAAACAATATATAAATAAATATAAAATATTTAAAATATATATATAAAAATATATAAATATATAGAATATATAAATATAAAATATAATCAGTTTAATAAACCACAACTCACTATGAAGATTCAGAAGCACATTTGAAGTTCAATTTGCATCAGGTCCGTCTATAAAAGAGGTTAAGAGCTTTTTAAGAACTAGATAAAAACAATAACCATGGCACATTAACCTTTTACAAACTTTAAAAGATGAACGAAGCCTGCAATATTTCTTGTTTTTATATCTGAAAAAGGGTTTTAGCATTGTAATCATTGCCTCTAATATGATCTACTTGTCTTTGTGTGTGTGTGTGTGTGTGTGTGTGTGTGTGTGTGTGTGTTCAGTGGGTGTCGTCAGGTGCGCCTGTGATGGATTTTTCAGAATTCAATGGTCAGTTGACCGATGTGCAGATGTGGGATTATACTATCAGCAAAGTAGATGTCATCAACTACATGACCCGCGGCGCTGTCTCCGGGTACGTGAGCTGATCTGAGGACTGATCTGTGTATTGTATATAAATATGTGTGTGTGTATTCCAACATAAGATATTAAAGGACAAACCAAAAGTCATAAAGAAATAAAATAGTGAAATAAATATTGTAAGAGACATAAATAGAAAATGATTGATAAACTCAGAATCAGGTATTCATGCAGACCATGGTAGTTAAACACAGTATGTACATACATAAATATATTGTTAAGATAATTTTGATAAACATTTCAGACTTGTTTTAAATCCACCATTTGAAAATATATTCATGTTTTTTAGGCCCTACAGCGGCTCCCTCCTTACCTGGTCCTACATCAGCTACTCCCCCAGTGGAAACACACTGTTGGAGGATGACGAGTGGCAGGCTCGACAGCCAATCAGCAGCAGCAGGGGGAGGGGGAGGAAAAAGCGAGTGAAAAATATGTTTAATGAGGTGGAACACAACAGAGTACAGCTTTAATGAAACACACAGGGGCATGTGTGGGAAAGCCGTACTGTTGCATTTCATAATAAATCACTCACAAATCTAAATTAAGAGGCAAATAATCATAAATAAAATGATACTGATAACTGATTAAAGTCGTTGATTACCATACATGTATTTACAAGACTACAAACAAGTCTAAATAATGGAATCAACAATTATTTCTAGCTTTTACTAACATGTTTAACATATCTGTATTTCTAATTATAGAACAATAAAGAGATGGCTTACACAATATTGGAATTGGTTGTACATTTAATATAACACCTGACAGTGTTATAAAGGAAGAGTTTAACATGATGGGAATATGTTTATTTGTAATCCGCCTTCTGGTTATATTCCTCCACCACCCAGTCAAGTCACAGCTTACATCCATGTTTCTCCAAATCATATTCACTTTCTCATTTTCATCCTTAAATCTAAATCGATGTTTGTGCCAAATTTGAAGAAATTCCGTCCAGTTGTTCCCGAGATATCTTGTTCACGAAATGAACAGAGACGTAGACCTACAACCCTAAAACCTTCTAACAAAACCGATGCTCTCTGACAAGACAAGCGAGATAATGCTTTCAAATTTAAAGGGGACCTATCATGCAAAATGCACTTGTGTACGTCTTTTATACATGAATGTGTCCCCGGTGTGTCAGGGAACTCACAAAGCGTCAGAAAACACAACCCTCTCTCTTTTCCTCTTTTCCTCTTTTCCTCCATACCCAAATCTCTAAAAACGGGGCTGCAACGGATCTGATACAGATTTGAAATTGTTCTGACGTCAGAAACGGGGTGCTCCGCCTATATGGGCAACTCTCCACCAATCAGGGGAATGAGAGGTTGCGTGGCATGGAACAGCATGGTAACATGATGCTCGTGCCTCGCCCCCCTCCTTCGTCAGCTGCAGCTCATTTGCCACAGAATTAGCCCTTGAAAAAACAGGGCTGGAATAGAGCAAATAGAGCGAAATGAGGCATGGCTAAAATGCATGATCTGTTTGGTATTTTGAAAAAAAAACTTCACAGACATGTTTTATATAGGTATGGCCCTACAATATATTATTTAAATATAGCATGATAGGTCCACTTTAAACTAGAAAATAATAATTAGAAAATAAAATCGATGACCAGAACCTGAAAGAATACTCTTGGGAAAATGTGATTTGAAAACTACAATAAATAGGGCTACACAAAGTGGAGAAATGTGTGCTATTATTGTTCACCAAGCTATAGAAACAGCTTAGCTAACTGAGCTAACGTTAGCAGTGCAAACAACGGGCCCAAATATTACAATTTGAACTATAATAATCGAGATTCTTGAAGTCAATTTGCTCGTTACATGTTTTTCACTTTATAAAACCTGTTATTTCAACAGACAAAAAAAGCTACTGTGGCTACTAGCAGCCATCTAAATATTAAAATATGAACTGTTATCCTTTGGATCCTTGGAGTTTTTTTATTTATTTGTAACATGTTATTCATTTTAAAAAGAAAGCTACTGTTGCTACTAGCTTGGAAGCTAAATAGTTTCCTTAGCTTTCCACATTTCAAGGAACTAGCTTACTTTCACTAGTAAAAGCCTACACTAGCTAACATTATATATAGCCCAAAATACAACTACAATAGTTAATGAGAACTCTTTAAGCAGATCGCGTTCACACCGGAATAAATCGCGTTCACATCGGAATAAATCCCTGGGGGTGGATTAGGCAAATTAAACCGCTGACGTCACTTCTTCTGTTTTGGGTTTACTGGCAGGCCGCAAACAACTTCACAGCGTATACATCCACCCGAAGTCCCCGGCCGGAAGTCCCCGGAGTTGGGGACTGGCTTCAGTAGAAGCTGCTGGGACTCCCAGCAGCTTCTACTGAAGCCTTCCGAGTAAATCGCCAGAACGCCGACACCTCCTCATCTCCACCGCTCCCATGTTTTCTTTTGTGTTGCCATAAATTAGTCTCTCTCCATTTGTGCGCTGGGCTAATGCTAATAATGCTAACGCGAGGATAATAAAATGGCGGCTTCACAAAAACTTTTTGGGAGTTTTACGGGGTGTGGTTTGCATTCCGCCCAGCCAATCAGACATAGGAACCTTTTTCTCCCACGAAAACGGAAAAGGGGGTAAAAAGGTTCTCATGAACTAATTTAGTTCAGAGGGCTTTTTGGTGTGAACGCAAATATATCTGAGTTAGTTCTGATGAACTATTATGGGAAAAGTACTCCGGTGTGAACGCGCCAAATAGTCGCTTTCACACCGCAGTACTTTTCCCACAAAGGTTCATCAGAACTTAGTTCATGAGAACTCTTTAGTTCTCATGAACTAAGTACAGATCGCGTTCACACCGGAATAAGTTCCTGGGGGAGGATTAGGCAAATGAAGCCGCTGACGTCACTTCTTCTTCTTCTGCTTTGGGTTTACTGGCAGGCCGCAAACAACTTCACGGAGTATACTGCCACCCGAAGTCCCCGCAGTTGGGGACTGGCTTCAGTAGAAGCTGCTGGGACTCCCAGCAGCTTCACATTTCGGAAATATATCGGAACTAAAGTGGGAACAGTACTGCGGTGTGAATGCGCCTTATGTCATATTCAAGTTATTAGAAGTTGTGTTGTGCAAAGCTAGCTAGATGAAACTTCCAAAGTGTAAAAAAATGCCAGTATTTGATTGTTTTAAATTGTAATACTTTATAAAGCAATCAAGCAAACAACGTCCTGAAATATACTCAGTAGTAAGTATATTTGAACAGGTTCAAGTTACAATAAAGTAAACAAAAGACTGATACATATTTTAATATGCTTACAAAACAAAGCAAGCTGTAGGTAGGCCATCATGTGAAAACAAGAGCAATTTCATACATTTCCATGTAACACTATTAATACTTTTATTAAAACCGTGGTCCTTCAGGTCCTTAGTGGTTAAGTAGTAGTGGCTTCAATAAAAACAAAAGCAGTGACGTTTCAGTAAAATGTGTAGCTATGCAACATGATGGGCTCTTATTTAGTTTACGCTGACATTATGAATTTGTAGTGTCTTATTTAATGTAACAATCTAAATAATTTGATAGAAGTCATACCATGGAATAAAAAAAAAATGTGTATTGCTGTTAAATGGAAAAGTTCAAGACTGAAATAAAACAACTGTGCTTTAGTAATTAGTAGTTTTACTTTTAATATGGTAAAATGTTGTAGTAATACTTCATTTAGGTAAATGGTCTGAGGATTCTTCCACCTGTTTTTCGGGACAAAGTCCATGCCTGTCAGATCACGTACTAATCAAATAATAGGTGTTTTTGCTCTCATCTCGTATTTTAATCTCAAACCTACTGTATCAGTTATTGTAAATCATAATCACCATTTTGCTTAATTTTCTGATATTTTTCTGGGATTAAAATCACAATATTTTAGGCTCAGCCAAAATCTTATAACTAGAAAATACTACAAATTCAGAATGTCAAGGAGTCTCAAAATCGTTTTTATCAGCCTAAGAAAGGTGAATTACAATTGTATGGAGCATCGCTATTTATAATCTGTTGTAATAGCAAAATAATTATTGTACATAGATCTGGGCCACCATTTCACTTTACACCATCATGTACAAAACTCTGAATTATCTACAATTAGTAATGTGGAATATGAGATTAGCCCTCCATAAAATAAAATAAAAGTTTTCTTTACAAATATAAAACTTACATGGCTGCCCAGATGCCACAGGTTTTTTCAACCATCACATCCTTTAGTTATTTTTCTTAGCAATTATCTGCAAGACAGCATTTACTGTATACAACATGTTTTGCATGAAGGCTTAAAGGAAAAAAACACAAGAGGTCCATTTAACATTTTTGAAACAAGTGGTATTTTGAAATGCACACACACACACTTACTGTAATTGCAGTCATGTGGGACCACTAATTACAGTTTTAGAAAATGCTTATAGGTCATCACACTCTGAAAATACAAATAACCGTATTCAGTTAAATGTCCTGTTATTGCTCTCATTATAGATACTTTTTGTTAATGTTTTACATTGTTAGGTGCCCAGGAATGTCCATGACGTGTACAATTTAGCCAGCTGCAAGATCTTATTCAATTATTCTAATAAATGGCCAGTAACATTAACCTATGTCATTGTTCAACTATAGTTCTGTAAACATGATTGAATTGATTTTTTCTGAAACCACTGAATCCAAAAATGTAGTCTGAAGTGTTTCTATGTCAATGGAATATAATAAGTAGTTATTAATTCAAACATGCAGCTGTAAAAGACCCAGCAGTGCTTATTATTCCTATATTAGACAATCATTTGTTGGGGTACTTGTACTTTCTCTTTCTAGGTTTGAAGTTTAAACAATGCATCTGTGTAGTTACTTGTTTTATCCACAAAATAAATAACACACTTCAACCATAGTTTTTGTCTGAAGGCAACATAGACGATCCTGAGCAAGATGCCTGATCAGAGTGTTTGTCAGAAGCGTTTCTTCAGCAAGTCAATTCATTTAGTAAAAACAATCATTGAGCCTTGAGCTTAAGCTAAACAAGCTCATGACATCTTTACAGGAACTCGAGTGAGATTCATTCATCAAGTATGTGTTGCTCTCACTCCTGTACAGTAAGGCACCAGCATCCTTTTAGCCCAAATCATAACGCTCAGTTTTAACAATGCTAGCTGTAGTGTTTGTTGAATGCACACAAGAATCCATAATGGTTACTAAACTCAGAAATATGTCACGGTTTCTTTTTTTAACCTGTTTTCTTTGTTGTTGTGTATTCCCCCAATTTCCAGAATGTTTCCTTACTGGAAAGTTTAGGAGATGGAGGATGACTGACACTCTGAATAATGTATGGAAATAAATAATGCTTCATTTATGATGACAGAATTATTTAGTTTTGGTTATTTAAAAATAAAAATAAAGCCTGCAATGTGCTCCAGAAATTGAGAATTTAGTATGCGTTCTTTACTTTTTCTCCAACTTGACTGGAATTCCCTCTTCACAAACATTTTGACTTTCACAAAAACATTTCTTAATAATTACAACTTCTGACTTTTCAATTTAAAATCCAAAATCCGGACTTAACATCTCATAATTCAAAATATTAAACATAGCGTCTTACATTTAGTATATTTAACTGTCTTATAATTTTATCTCAAACATTTCATAAGCTTCTTTGCAAACTGGGATTTTATAGTTTTACACTCGGGCGAAATACTTTCTTTTGTTTCTGTAAAGACTAAAAGTTTGGATTCAGTTTTCCAAAAAATACACATCTAATGGCAATGACCCACGGCAAGATTTCTGAACATCTCAGGACAATTTGAAATGTTTCCCTCAGACAGTTCTGATAAGATCATGTGACAGGTATACATGGATGTGATTGGCTGCTGACAACACAAAACAATAATCGTTATACCGCATGGATATGTGGTTATTACAGGGTCGCTGGTGCTTAATGCTCTGTGTGTGTTGTAATAAAGCACTGCTTGGCTCTGCTCAGCTCAGTTTGTAAAAATGTGTGTGTGTGTGTGTGTGTGTGTGTGTGTGTGTGTGTGTGTGTGTGTGTGTGTGGTGTGTGTGTGTGTGTGTGTGTGTGTGTGAAGGGCACACTGCACCAGGGAGCAATGAAGTGCACTTCTTTAAAAAAAACCTTTTGGTTATATTTAAATGGTTGAAAAGAGTCAATTCCACTGGACTGCAGCAGTCTATTGTCAAATTTAAAAAAGTAAAAACCTCAAGAGGTAAAAATGCTGAGGGTCAAAGGTCAGCTGGGTTCGTCTTCCTGCTCCTACCTTCAAATCATTCTGCACACAGAAGAGGCTCTGGTATTACGCTGCATGCTGCAGAAGAGGCTCTGGTATTGCTTGTTTCACCTCCTGAAAGGAGGAGTTTATATGGCGCTCCTCTGCCTCCTCCTGCTGGTCATTTGAACGCCCCACGATCACCAAGACGTGAGGGATGGGTTCAGTCTGAATCCCACTGAGCCGCCGTGGGAGCAAATTGAGAGAAACATTTGTAAATAAACCTAAAGGTTGAATGTATATTTCAGGAAACAAAAACTTGCTGTGTGCTTTCAATGCAAGACCAGATGAGATCCTCACACTGGGCCCGGTCAGAGTAGCCTGGGGGGCCCTTCATCGATCCTGGGAGCCAATTGGGAAGAGACCCACTACCCCTCAAACTTTAAAACAAGCTCATACTGGGGTTATAGTTGCAGAGCACTGAGAAAGGGTCAGGGTGTGGAGGGCTTGTGGAGGATGCCCTGCAGGTCCTCTGGGAGGGCCAGGATGACGGCATCAATGTGGGCCCTCAGCTTGGCCACGGTCCCCGGACGCACAGGGAGCTGCTCCCTCTCCGCCTGAGTCTGCAGCAGAGAACAGTTCATTCTATTAGTACAAGTCATTTGAAATCCACAGTGACGCATTTATATGGCGGCAAATCTCTGTCATAAATCGCGAGGGCATAAGAGATCCACACGAGCACAAGTCAAGCAGCCGCATATTATTTTCGCGAGCACTAAAACGGCACTCGCGCGAGAGCAATATTGAAGCCTGCAGGGGAGAAACATGCCTTGAGCATGTGCAGCATCTACATGCGCTCTCCTTGGTCTCCTGCGCTCTCGCGAGCAATTCCTGCTCTTCTGCTCGTGAAACTCTGGCCTGCTCTCACTCGCGGAGACATGTTAGGAAGTGGGCGTACCGTGTCCCAGTAACGCCAAATCTAATTGGTTACACCCCTCCTCTTTTATGATTGGCCGTTGTCTGGATTTAAACCAAGAAGTACTTTTTGTCCCTCTCTAACGTGATGAAATATGGCTGTGGAAACGTCTCACGTAAGTTACTTTACTAATGATTGTTTTAATTAAAGGCATGCTTTTGTATTCTGTGGTTATTCCACAAGAGCCGTTCTTACTTATAAATGGATTGAGTTTTTTTTAGATAATACATTTATACATATTTTTCAAAAGTATTCAAACAATTCTATTATAAAGATAAGAAACAATTACCTTTTCGGTCTTCTTGACATATGATAATATAAAATGCAGCTTTCAAAAACTGAATTTGGAATTAATAATTTGATTACTTTAGCAAAATATTTTATTCACAAATGTCGCTTTTTCAAAATGTCCACAGTTTTTATTGCCTTTCTCAAAGAACAGGGTGTCCGCGGGGTCTTCAAAAGTATTAAAAGTTGATAAATCAATTTAGAGAAAATTAATTAAGGCTATTAAAAAGTATTAACCTCTTAAGCCCCACGGACCCGAGCTCGGGTCCGAAAATGCTATATATGTAGCAACAGTGCTATATCTGAAGTGTCATTCATGAAACAATTAATATTCCATACCCATCTGACCGGAGGAAACTTGGCTTACTGACGATACGAAAACAATTTTTTTTTCGAAAAATAAGTCTCACAAGAAGCCTCTAAATGACCCCATGTCAAAAACGGGCAATTGCTATGTCTGCTCATAACTCACAAAAACGATCATTTATAATTCATCCTTTCCGCACAAACAACACATTTTCTGAAAGCTGAGATTCCACAGATTCCATGGGTGTACACCCCATCACTACAGGCACAACATTCACCGAGCTGGCAGCCACAACATAGCAA